ATACATTAACTGTTTGGGAACAGTAATAGGCTTCATATTCGCGGATAATGATTTATTGGGTCCATTAGGGTTTCTCGTAGATGGGATCGGCCCAGTGCCGCCTGCCACTCATCACGTGAGCACTGAGCAGACGTCCTGCCACCTGTCGGTGATTTCCCACAACGAGCTTTATCTCGACAAGCCACAGTATGTGTGTAGAATCAACTACAGGACCACTTGACGGCCGCGCCAGTCCAGGAGATTATTCAAACAGAACTATGCTTGACTCAAAATGGAGTCGGAGTTGACTTTGGAATCATGCATATTTTTGGTAAGTTGGGGTGGAATCAATGCGTTTGTATCTACGTTTGTACAAGAAAGAGAGATGAGCCATCCATATGTGATGAAATCATCAGCGAGTGGAATAAATTGTTAATGCGAATAACAGCGAAGACTCTGTATTGAGAACCGTTAGATGTGCAACAAATGGAGCTCATGATACTCTGCTGTTTCCTTATCATAACTTGTGCACCCGTTCTGGCTTTGTGTAGCCCACACAACGGCTGGCATCCTTACGTTGTTGTCACCGGAGGCGACTCGAATGGAATCGATTCCAGAATTAAGCCACGCCTTCCTGAGCCGAAATCGGAATCAGATTGCCGTGGTGTGCCATCAGATGTGCCGTGGTGTGCCGCGGCACATGTGATTGCGATTTCGATTACGTCGGGGACAGAATTAGCCTGATTTGCTTTAAGTCGAAGTCGGAATGGATCCCGCTAGGACGGAATTGCCCATGAGTCTGAAGTCAAGAGAGCAAGCACGCTCTTGGGTATGCTTACAGGGCCCGATGCTACCAAACTACCCCTCGCAGGTGCACTGCACCATGGATGGCGACTTGGAAAATTAAAATTGAGAAGTGTTAATGGCCTATCTTTGCATCCAAACATCTGTCTATATTCTTAATTTACGCATATCAAGCGCAATATCCTCGTGGAGGCGGTGGCATACCAACCCGTCACGATAATTCGATCTCACGTCTCGCTAACCACATAAGGACCGCCTCCGTCCGTTAGGCACATTTGGTGTGTGGTCGACAGCGGTGTCTGAGAGCCAACTGGGCCGTCTAAAGTTTGGTCCAAGTGGCTGAATATGCATGTGCGCAGTTAGTGATTGATATGCTCTGGCGATCGGCGCGTGCCTTGCCGTCCAAAGGCAAAAAGGCGTAAGTGCTATGTTAACTAATGGCTCTTAGAATTTTTACCTTCGGGCGGCTGTGCTGTCAAATGCAACACTGAACTGACCATACGACTGGCCTCTGAGACATGTCTCTTATCGGTGGTATGAGATTAGCTGCCGTATCCTATGCACGGTCCAACTACGCCAGGCCTGGACATGGCATGGATCGCCGGTGCGGGTTGTTTGGGTGTGCTGTTCGTCCTGCTTGCCCTTCTGATCCGAGCTGGTTGACGTGCTTAGTAAGCTCCAAGGTTCGGGAACAAGTTGAGCCTAATCTCATATGCCTGATCCTGCCAAAGCCGCGAACACATTCACCACATCATTAAGTACCGTGCAGTCATGCGCCCTTACGTGAATCTTGCACAAACTGAAGGCTATTAATCACCATTTTTTTGTCTGCGGGGCTGGGTTATTGATCAGTGGTGGTTTTGCCAGTATCATAAGTGAGGAATCTCCGAGACCAGATGATTTCTCAGAGCGAGAGCCGACTGCCTGCATGTCAGTAGCCAAGCTTCGCCCACCTCGGGTTCGTCTTCCAAGAAACACAAGGCACGGGAGGAGCTTACAAGGTTTGGTTAGTACATGTTCCTCGTGCGCTTTACTTTACCCAAACGTTTAAAGAGAGAATTGACGCCAACATTCTTGGCCTGGCGCTTTCACGCCTTAAGGAAGAAAAACAGGAAGTAACATTAGCCATAAAATCCCGCTTAACCTCTTACTTTCGGTCATAAAATTAATGGAATCTTAAGCTCATTGATCTGCGCAAGGATTTTCACTATTATCTCCATAAGTGTGCGGGTCAAAGATACCTGTGTAACGCATTTACCAACGCAGATAAATTTACCTATAACTAGGACCTCCCACCCAGCGAGTGGTCGCCGATGTCGGCGTACCGACAGCCTTTTGGTGGCAGCTCCCGTGTGCTGCCGTCCCCTGCTGGGGGGGGGGGGGGGGGCACACGGGCTACGAGTCACGACTCAAGTTCTGGCTAACTCGACCCCAGCGCACCGCACCGCCGGCGTTAACGATCATTTCCGGACGCGACCGCAGCTGGGCTGCGGCTCTGGTCTCGATTTTTACGCCGCTCCGGGTCCGGTTCCTGCCATTGGGCGGCTCAAGTCGGGCCCGCAGGGGTGCAGGGGTGCGGCTGCTGGCAGCTGCTGGGTGACACGAGCGATTCATGGCTGTAGGTGCTGGATCGGTTACGCGATCTTGAACGCTCTAGTAACACAATGACGAAGAATATTATGGTCCCTGGCCATTAGTTAGTGATCGCTCCAAGTTTTGAGCTACATGTATGCTAGATTTTGATTGTGTGCTGAATTTATGTTTTGGCTTCGTCCACGAAAAAGAGATAAATCATTAGAAACTAAGCAATTTGCCATTAGGTGCCCGGAATTGGCCCTCATTGGGCGGAGAATTTCCCAAGATCTGAAGCTCAGAGGAGACCGGAGTTGATCACAGGTCTCCACCCCGATGCGTGCTATCAGCAGAGACCGTGAGCTTAATGGTTAAAATGATAACATAGCCGGCCGGTGAAAGCGAACCGATCGGCCATCGGCCTAGCGATGGTGCTGTCCGCACGTCATTGTGCCCCCCCCCCCCCCCCCCCACGACAAATGCTTCCATTAGGCTACTGTAGTCAACGCGATAAGGAGAGGCTGGAAATGTACTGGGCGCTCCGGATCTGAGCACGCTGTGCCCGCTCAAACTCATATCGCCTGTGATAGGGCGTGTCACGCTGCTGTGTCCAAACGACTTGAGGTAGTGGAAACAGGTGCACCTGTGCCTGCTAGGAACGCTTGTTCGACGAGAGGGCGTGGGTTTTACCTTTCCCTCATGCAAGTCGTGTATGTCTACCGCTTCGTAAGCGGGCATCGCGTGCCGGCCGTGGTGTTTGGACGCTTAGAGGTTTGCTGAGTAATGACTAGTGCCCATGCAAGTAACCGCAGCACAATTGCTGATAATTTTTAGAGCGCCACCTCGCAACGCTAAGTGAAAGCCTTTCATGATCAGCCACCGGTGCAGAAACGGCCACTGCTCCAGCAAACCTGTCCGCGCCCCCTGCCACGCGCGTCGCACCGCCCCCTGCCTCGCCCCCCCCCCCCCTGCGGCGTTGTCTCCGCGCGTGCCGCGCTCGGCGGGGGCCGGCAGCGCGAGGTGGAAATAACGGCAGCGGGCGGGCCACCTCCCACCGAGCCGTCACGCCCCTGGCCGAGACGGGGGACGGCGACGCCGTGCGGAGCGGACGGCGGACGGGGCGCAGAGTCCGCCGCGGTCGCCGCTCCCACCGGCCCGGCCCGACGCTGGCTGGTCCGCAGGTGGCGGCTGAGTGGCGACAAGCACGTACGTCAATCCCGCTCTGATAACGGCTTGAGGACGGGCTTTGTTCTGGCAACGCTGGCCCAGCAACAGGCTCAGGGGCATCTGCAGCTGTTCGATGGAGCTGCGAAACGACCCAGCTTCGTTTGATATGCAGCGGTTTGCCTCTGTCGTACACGGTGTTCAAACGTCTCAGCTCGTTCCTTTTTATATTGCCACCGTCTTCAGAGAGTTGCCGGGGGCGGGAATCGCTGGTGCTGCGCACCCGTATGTTCTCTCGCACGGGACACTTAAGACATCAAGCCAGTAAGCCACATGAATAAATGATCTTTAAACATCGCTGAAGTCATGCAAAACAATGCTCAAATAGCTGTGATGTACGGTTACCAGTCCACGTGTCTGCAAATCAAATTCCCGTGCACGCTGGTCATGGCAATCTTTCATGGTCCTCTTGCTAATCTGGCGTAATCAGTTGCAATATTTATTGCTCTGTCCTTTTGAACCGCTGTATTTGCCTTTGCCCTGCCGCGAGGAACGGTAAATCCCGTGACTGCAGTCGCAGGAACACACTGGAAATTGGAGCTACTGAAGCTGCAATAACCCAGAACACATTGGAGGCTTACCCGGCAAGGCTATCGACATTGATCCTGTATACCATTATGATTCATGTGAAACATTATGTGCTGGATTATCGTTAAGAAGCCTTACAAGGGGAGCACGTGCCTGGCCGCGACCATTTGTCTCGATGGCGACCTCCGCGAGATCCGAGCTGACCGCCACCGGTTGCATAATTATACATCCGGCAACAGCAGGGGCGTTGCTTGGCAAAATTATATGGGGGGGGAGAGGGAGGGCTCAGTAATGGGAAAGTGACAATCTGCCCGCAGAACGCGCGAACTGGCGGGTTTCCTTTCGGTTCTGACCCACTTTCTTCCCAAAGTCTGGGGCTGGGCTGAAGCCCCGAACTGAGCAGAGCGCTATGCACGCGGATCAGGGCACATCCCCTTGAACACATGTGCCGCTGTCCCAGTGGCGGGTCGCCCTGGCCATACCCTCAGCACACTGGATATACTCGAGCGACCTGGTGACCACATGTGCCGCTGTCCCAGTGGCGGGTCGCCCTGGCCATACCCTCAGCACACTGGATATACTCGAGCGACCTGGTGACCACATGTGCCTGCTGTCCCAGTGGCGGGTCGCCCTGGCCATACCCTCAGCACACTGGATATACTCGAGCGACCTGGTGAACACATGTGCCGCTGTCCCAGTGGCGGGTCGCCCTGACCATACCCTCAGCACACTGGATATACTCGAGCGACCTGGTGAACCCGAGCGGCGCTCCTACAGAGCCGTGTTCGCCGTCCGCCCTGCCGACGCCGCGTACCGGCCGCGCGTCACGTGTTCGGTAGCGCACGAGCACAGCTCCGACGGCGCTGACTCCGATCCGTGTCTCTCTGTTCCAGAAGCCGGGCCGCCAGCATGGAGAGCTGAAGGCCAGCGCCCGCCTTCTCCTGATGACGTCTCACACCTGGAGCGGCATGGCTGCCGTGGTGCCGACGCTGCTGCTGCCGCTGCTGCTGTCCGCAGGCCTGGCGCAGGAGCTGGACGTGACTGACCGGCGCGTAGTGACGTACTCAGGTGAGCTGGGCAGCGAACGACGGCGGTGGGCCGCGAGACGCGCTCTGCTGTGGGCGTGGCGCCCCGGCCAGCTCGGCCGTGCATACCTCCTGCTGGCCGCTTCAAGATGGCGAATGAAAGGCGCCCACATTAATATTACTGTACTGACAACAAAGGTGAGAAGGTCCTCCGCCAGGTATCGATAGTAAAGCTTAAGCTGCACGTCTGAGAAACCAGAGGAACAGAGTGCACTCCCCGCGGTAGCCGCCCTCCCTGCCAGGGTGAGAGGCAGGCGACGCCGTATAGCCTCAATAGCTGAGTACGTTGCAAAGGCCCAGTGACACACGGTCTCTCTCCCGATAAGGTGTTCTTCATTTGTAGGTCTATTTGAAATTAATGGCAATTTGAGACTGTCGAGATGATACGCGGAAGCAACAATAGCCCACCCATAGCGATAAGCCTATTCTTGCTAAATTCCAAAAGATAAGACCTTCCGCGAATTCAAGACACGTGACGATGAAAGCACCCCATCCCGGCGAGACCCTTGTCGACCCTGTCATCGACCCTGGCGAGACCCTGTCATCCCGGCGAGACCCTTGTCGACCCTGTCGTCGACCCTGGCGAGACCCTGTCATCCCGGCGAGACCCTTGTCGACCCTGTCGTCCCATGACAGATACCCAGCTGGACGGGGCGCGCCAGCAGCCGCCGTCGCCGGGTGACAAGTGTGGCGCGCGTCCCCGCGGCGACGCACCCTCTCGGCCCGCCCTCCCGGACGCCGACAGCTCGGCGCGGAATGTCCGATGCGGCCCCGATCTGAGGCCGTATTAGGAGGCGGTCGGCCGGTCGGTCGTGGCTGGTGGATCTGGCCCGGCCGATCGGCGGCATCGGGCGGCGCGCGGCCCGCATTCCTGGCGCTCACACGCCCCAGGCAGGTGCAGCCTGCACCGCCGCCGGCGGCCGGCGCTTGCCACGCTCGTAGCCTCATTGCCGCTGTCCACCCCCCGGCGGGGCGGGGGGAGGGACTGTCATCGAGCGGGGGAGCTTTGGAGCGGCCCGGGACTCCCCGCTTCGGTAAGGTGTGTCTTTAGACTATCCGAACAGGTTGGCGAAGCGCTTTTCCTGTTTGCCGACTAGTGATTGTAGGGCTAGATCCGCTACCGAACTGCTATGCCTTGCCGTCTGTCACCGATCTGGGGTGCCGAAAGCATTTGACGGCAACACCGCAAGGACAGACTCTGGATTGCTGCCAAGAAATATATAGCTGTGCGGAAATGAATCCTTCTATCGATCACCCAAGTTTCGGACATCCGGATCAGTCGTTGTTAACAACCAACACCCATCTTGATGTGGCATCAGATGCATCCAGCATGTCAGCTGGGCGGCCGACGGGAAGGCTGTCTCCAAACCGCGAGCACGGCAGCTTCGGCGGCGAACACGGGGCCGATCCCTCCGTCAACCTACTCAGATAGTCCGGAGCGACACCTCAGACGGTGGCGTGCCCGGTCCCAAACCGCTCCACCGCTCCATCGCCCTATGACAGCCCCCCCCCCTCCCTCTCCCCACCGATGTGTGAGCGACAATATGGTGACAATGGTGACAGTTATGGGTGTTGTAGGACAAAATGGATACGTTCTGCTAGCGAAACAATCCTGATCGTGTTTTTGTTGTCGTTTTAAGGGATCTCTCAAGCCACGGTACAAAAAGACGATCTGTTAAGGCCGCATGGAAAATGAATTTTACAGAAAACAGCTGTCTGATCATGACCGTACCCGAGGATGAGAAATGGGAGTGGTGACTGCAGGGGGCAACGATAAAAGGATTCCCATGTTAGTCATGGAAGCTCCTCCTCCCCTGTCACGGCCTCAAGGGTGATGTCACATATCCCGTGCTCTTGGAGAAAGAATCGCTGATTTTATCAACACCCGAGGACACTACAGCGCAGTACATCGTAAAAGTATGCTGTCCACTTCACGTGAGAAACAATGGCGTGTCAAATGTTGCCTTTCTCAGATTGTGTATAATCTATCTGTGACATCACCTGTCCAAACTTTATTAATTATGGAGCACGACGGGCCTGAAAAATCTATTGAACTTTACCGGGTGCAAACGGTTTGCATGTTTGGAAACCAGCAACGTACTTACAGGAATTTGGGTTGATTTTCATACCTGAAGCTAGCCAAGGAATGCTTTGACATTGGTTCCAGTTTGTGGTAATTTAGTAAAGTCAGTCACAATGCATTTAAAAAACATGCACAGGCTGCCTTTGCGCTGGTTGTTTACCTGCCATTGTAATTTCTTGAATAATCACTGTGTGCCCTCATTTGCCACAAATGGTTAGTTGCAGAAAGTCAAGGTTAACAAATACCGCTTCTTCCCCTCTCACATTGTGGAAGTGTTTTATCAAAGTCTGCCGCATGTTACGTCACGTATGTTAATTGGGTATAGCCCAGAACTTCAGCTATTCGGTTAGCGCAAAGGGAAACTTGTCTGCATTGCGGAACAACTTGCTGAAAGGATAAGAAAGTTGGCGAAGCTGGCGTGTCAGGGCAGCTCGAAACTGAGCCAGCTGGCCCATTATCCATCTGACGTCACCAGCCAGGCCTTGGAGAGCACGTGCGGCCCGTGGCAGCGGTCGGCTGACCCGTCTCACAGGGGTCACACACCGGAGGCATGCCGCACCACGTGTTTGACCTGTGAGGGTGTGCTAACGGTCTTGCTTTCACAACATAGCGCAAACAAGATCATCATTTACGGCATTCCCATTCTGCAAGACGGTGAACCTTGGTTCAAGTCATATCAACATGGGAGAAAGTACACATTTCGCCCGCTTATGAGTACATGTGGATGCATAGCGACCCAACGTGGGCAACCCCGTGGGTCGGCACCTTACTTTCTCCCGTGGTCTTGTGAGAGGATGCTCACAGTTGCAGGCGGGGTAAGAATATCCGCACTGGCTAGATTGACAGCCTGCGCTTCAGACCAGCGCCGCTGAAAAACCACACAACGCTCAGCCCGGCACTGGTATCTGGCGCCTCAACTTTAAATAAAAGGCTTCGTTGCATGAGCGTTGCACTTCCAACCAATAATGCATGCAATTTTTGTGGACAAGATAAGTTGAGTTAGTTATCCGGTTTGGCATCTAATTCTGCAGCAAATTAAGGTTTGTAAGTTGTGGTCTATGGAAGACCCCAAAGGTCATTGTTGCGAGTTTTTTTTCTGGTGACCCTTGCCCAACACACGACTCTATTTAAGGCCATCGATTTCCCCGATGACATTTTCGATTGATTTTCTGCTCTGTCTCATAAAAGCCTGCGACAGAATGATTACACCTCACGAATTAAATATAAGCACTCTTTGTCAAGTTTCGCAACCTTGAATTCGTCCAGCATGAGGCGTATGGGGGTGGAGTCAAGGCTGAAACAAGCGGAGTGACCCTACCTTTGTTGATGCTACTTCTTCACATATATCGCCATGGTGCGACGTGAAACGTGACTTGAAAAGACCTACAGTCTTCCCAGCCCCCCACTGCCACGCCTGTGGACGGCGCCCAGTACCGCCCCCACGGCATTATGACGCCGGACACCTCCCCCGCCTACGCCTGCGCCTCCGTGGCCCACAGGTGCGCAGCCGGAGGTCCGGCCGGCTCGGCGCCTGGGGACCAGGTGGCTCGGCGCTGGGGGGCCAGGTGGCTCGGCGCTGGGGGGGCACTTGTGCCCAATCCTCGGCTCCCGCCCGGCAGACCACAACACTGGCGTGCCGCCGGGCCCCTCCCGCCGCTCGAGGCACGCCATCGGCCGACGACACGGAAGTGTACGCTACTCTGCCCGGCCGAGAACGCCGCAACGCCCAGCTCTCGATGAACCGGAGAGCGAAAGGGCCAATCGTGGGGAGGCGTTTTGACAAGAATTAGCTCAGCTTTGATTCTTATGGCGCTGCGATCATGCACATATCGATGTTCACGTATGGGGAACGTTTGATTGATCGCTTGATAACCGCGCGATGAGCTGCAGTCCTGTATTTGCTATAGCAAGTGTATGTTTACTGGCAGCTGTGAGTGGCGCCAATGCTCGTTCGTCAGCATTCTGCCTGCCTCGAAGAATGCCGGATATTAGCCTGAGCGGCTTCTGTTTCTTTTCTTTATGCCCCCAATCTCGGTAGATGCCTCGGCCATCTGTGAAGGAGCCCGTGCAAAGGCGGGTGCAGCCCGCACCGCAGGAATTCGCAGTCCACGAGCGCCAAACGAGCATTCCACCGCTGGGGACGCCGCTACCGCTGGCCATCCCGCTTCGCCGCATCCGAACGCCGATCTGGGAGCCGAAGACATGCAATCTATATGCAGCGGCGCGCGTGCAGGCATCACGACGTACCCTGTTGTTCATAGGCCGTAACTCGCATTGTGTGCGGCATTAATCCTGGCCGACGCAGCGCGCCTGACAGAGCGGTGCCGGCGCCGCGGCCCGGGCCGACGGGACGTGCCGTGCATGCGGCTGTCGGCCTGCCGCCGCCGGCTCTCGGCCACTCAATCAGCAGGTCGGCGTTGTCGCCGCCGCCGGCCGCCGCCGGCCGGTCCCGCGGCGACCGCCGCTGACGAGACGGATTCCGCCGCGCCGCCGCCCGCCTGTCGCGGTCGGCAGCGGACGTTCCGCCATCGACGGGGCGCTGTAAACAGGGCCTCTCGGGCCTCTCTCGGGCCTCGGGCGGTACTCAGGGTGGTGTCGCTCATTAGGGGGCGGGGCCGAGCGGCGGTGGGACGCGCCAGACCGGACCAGCGGCCGCCGACTCCCATTAGTTATCGACGATTGGAACGATCGCCTCAGCCGCGCGATCTGGTGAAAATGACGTCGTTTGTAGTCATCGCCGTTAAATTGATTGTCCGGGACGTGTGAGAGCTGGTAACACCCCACCTGTTATTTGAAGAGTACTCGAAACTATGTAGTGAAAGTGAAAGCGGGCCTGGAGTGACCAAGTGGGCGCGTGGCGTTCCCAAATGCTTACGCTTATGTGTACTCTCTCAGGAGTT